TCGCCTAAAAAGCTAATAATGCTCTGCTCACCCCAGAAATAGATAAGAAAACTCCTCAACTAAAGAACCAGTCATAAGTATGTAAATGTCATAAAAAATTAATTTAACACGACAATTGCGATGATGACAGGGTATGAAAAATAAAAATCTAATTAGTCCGTAAGTTAGATAATGAAAAAATATTAGACACGTATTTTTTTATTTTGTCGTATAATAAAATAATACATAAATAAAACGAATCAAAATTTAGGAGTGGGGGCTAAAACGTAATTTCTACGTATAAAATGTACATAGAAGTGACGTCACGCGACATTTCAAATCATATATATCGTCGAAAGCATTCGTTTCTGTAAGAAAATAAAAAATACGTGTCCAATGATTTAAAATAATCTATCAGACGGACATTACAATAAAAATTAGACATCTACCCTATTACAATACCTATGACACAAAATTCCAACATCCTTTATATGACATAAACTCATTGTGTCAACGCGTAATATAAACTTCCAGCCAATTTAGTTCAACAGATGTTTTCGCTGTCGACTCCACGCGTACACTGTCCGACTCATAACTTAGTGAATAAACGAGCTACTCCGCGCATTTTCCGAAACAGTTTTTTTAACCTTTCGAACTCAAGTCCTGATTTGGTGTAAATCAGTGTCGTTATTTTCATAGTGTCAGTGTATCTAAACGGTCGATTTGGAAAACATTTTGGGGACGCCATTTAAGTGTTCCGAGAGCCATGCTTCGGCACGAATGGGCCGGCTCGACCGGAGTAATACCACGGCCTCACAGAAAACAGACGTGAAACAACGCTTGCGTTGTGTTTCGTCGTGTGAGTGAGGTTACCGGAGGCCCAATTACCCCTTCCCCAATCTCACAAATCCCCGAATCCCCTACAATCCTCAAATTCCTAATTCCCAAAAACATTGTTGATGATTCAGGAATTGGAGAGAAGGAAGGGAAGGGATTTTAGGCCTCCGGTAACCTCACTCAAACAACGAAACACAACGCATAATAATAATTATTATTTAAATCGTGTACCTATTTCATGTTATTTCGTGTTCTAAAACTCCAAACCTATTTTGTTGATCTTAAATTTTGGCGTATTTATGAATATTTGTGCAGTGCTGCGTTAGTGAAAAAATACTCAAATGAGTGTTAAAATAAAACAGAGACGGCGTTCGATATTTGTTTTCATCTAATAGTGTTGCTTTTGTTATGGTGTATAATTTACGGTGTATTTTTACCCGTATTCGTTTAAAATCTATGTATGTTTAGGGAAAAGACTGAATAATGCGTTTAGCTTTAATTTCCGAAGTGTGAATACGAAAATAGGTCTTATTTGTCGATGTTTTTGGTTTTAGCATGAATGTTAAATATGTGAACTTTAGTCAATTTGTAACTAAGTCATTTGTTAATGGGATTTAAACTGTCAAACACCGCGAGGACACCGGTGACCGTAACCTATTGTTCTTTAATTGTGTCTATAATGACGGTACTCAAAGAGTTAATTTTGGTATTCTATTTTTCTTCGAAGAATTCTTTTATCGAGTAGGTAAAAGCATTTTTGTATGAGGTAGTCAATGATATTATAAAGAAGATACGCTACGTTCATACTAAGCGGCGTCCAAAAATTGTTGCCTTCTTATTACAAATGTACTTAAATGTCATTTTCAACTACGTGCGACAGATAATACGGAAAGTATGGTACAGAAAGAGATAGCTATTATACAATTACGACAATTGTCTGAATTCGTTCGCAACAATTTTTGCGTGCCAGTGCGATATCTACCTCTTTTTATTATTTATAATATCATTGGAGGTACTTTTTTAATTTGCTCTCAATTATAATTTCTTTGGTTTCGTTTTGTAGGTCAAAACAAATGTCTGTAGACACCTTTTTTTAAGGGGAGAAAGTCATTGAATGCCTTTTCCCGCGTTGAGTGAGGCGAGAGAATGTCAGATTCATACTGACTAAAAACCACCCCGTTCCTATTCTTGCTTCAAGTCGGAGCCCCGGTGTCTATAAGCATTTGAATAAACTACTCCTACTGAACAATAAACAAACAAAATTATGCTAATAACAGATTACGCACACATAACATCACGCCTTTTTCCCCGAAGGGGTAGGCAGAGGTATACATTATACCACTGTACAAATGTAACACCCACTTTTCACTATTTATGTTATGAGTCCCATGTAATACGGGGTGAGCCTATTGCCATATACCGGGCACAATTCCAAACTCCGTGCTACTACTGAGAATTTTTTTAAAACCCAGTAATACTTCGCCCGACCCGGGAATCGAACCCGAGACCCCATGCCCGGCAGTCGCACTTGCGACCACTCGGCCAGCGAGGCAGCGAGGTAGTAATAACAGATTACTATGATTTATTACAAAATTAAATAGAAAACTAATTAATATTCCTAGGTAGCTTAACCTACTAGGAAACAATAAGGCGACTCATTACAATAGAACGACGCCTGTCTGTCTGTCTGTACGGTTTAACCTCATTACATGCTTGACATGTTTTGATTGTTTTCTTTTTTAAGAGTAGGTGCATAGAAATGCAGTTTTTTTCTTTTTAGTAGTGTCGTAGTCGTCTTAAAATTTTATTCATTAGATATTGAGTTTTAATATAGGCGATAAATAACTTTTTAATTAAAAAACAAATTAAAAGGAGTGTATTTGAGTTTGAGTATGTAATTCTTTTAAAAACGTAAATAGCACCATAAACAACGATTTCAGTAATTATAGACATTAAAAAAAATAGTCACTGCCTCGTTGTCCGAGTGGTCGCAAGTGCGACTGCCTAGTAAGTGGTCTGGGATTCGAGTTTCGGGTCGGGCAAAGTAAGTATTACTGGGTTTAAAAAATCTCAGTAATAGCACGGAGTCTGGAATTGTGCCCGGTATATGGCCATATGCTTACCCCCTATTACATGGGACTCATAACAAAAATAGTGTGTGTTATATTATGTAAAAGTGGGTGTTACATTGTACAGTGGCAATAAGTGCCTTCGGGGATAAAAACGCGTAATTTTATGTTAAATTAAATCTTTAATCATCAACTAAGTAGAATTTTCACCGCCAAAAATATCCATTGACACAGGACGTTAAAATAAACGACTATCTAATTTATGTAAACTGTAATTAAAGTTTCAATTACCTTAATACAAACCGTAGAAACAACAGCACTTCAACCTACCCTAAATTAACTCAACTATTTAACAAATCATCAACCTTATACCTTTGTACTTAAAGTCTACAACACATTGTACGAATTTGACAGGCTACCATGCACATGTGACCATAGTGAATTATTATTGTGAAAGTTGACAGTTCTTTTTTTTAAAACTAGTATGGCCGCCTAGTGTGGTTATCGTGTGTGCGTTTAAAATGTCGAAAGAAAAACCTAAGGATAATAAAAAATGTTCGCTGTTGTGTTGGTAAGTGCCTTACGTATTTTTAAAGTATTTTAATTTTTAATTCAGTTCAGTTAATAAAACCTCCATAGACATTGTCATTCAGTTTTAACGGTCCGTTCTGCAGTTCAGTTTATATTTCCCGCCTTTGTCGGTATAACCAACGGATTGTTTATGTCATAATAAAAAAAAAACTGAGTAAAATCTTTGAAATCTCTTACCAGATTATTATCTTATTAACAGTGATATCTAGAGGGGGCAATTTTTAACAGATGATGGAATATAATAAATATTCATACCCTGTCATCACAGGGTATGAAAATTAAAAATCTAATTAGTCCGTCAGTTTGGTAATGAAAAAATATTAGACACGTATTTTTTTGTCGTATAGAAAACAATACTTAGATAAAACGAATCAAAGTTTAGGAATGAAAGGTAGCTACGTCATTTTAGAGTATAATTCGTACTTCAAAAGTAACGTCATGCGATATTTCAAATCAATATATCTTCTAAGCTATACGTTTTCGTAAAAAAATACAAAATACGTGTCTAATGATTTAAAATAATCTACCAGACGGACATTTAAATAAGAATTAGTTATCTACCCTATTGTGTAATCATTTTAGTAAACGTATCTACGAAGTAAGTAGGACCTGCAAATGCCGTTGCCCTGATACAGTTTTGGTATGAAAAATGATATCATTACTCTATTAATGAATGTTATAATAACAATCACGAATTGCAGTAGTCACCATCATTGACAACTCTAAATAAGAATACTTAGATCAACTGTCATCATTCATCTTGAAATCCTTCGTTCAAAGTCAAAGTCAATATCATTTATTTCAATTAGACCAGAAAGGCACTTTTGAACGTCAACAAAAAATTAAAAGTGCAGCTATTTGCTCATTCCAAGGTGTTCCAATTTTTATGAATATTTTTACTTTTCGTATTTATTACAGCAGTGTCATCTTGTGTTTTTATTTTATTTTGTAAATAGATATATAAACTGCAAACAATTCCTGATCTCAAATAGCGTGGCTCTGTTCTAATCTGTAATAGAAAAAAAAATAATTATTTGATTAAGAAAAAGAGACCACCTTTTCCTGTTATGTTATCACTTTATCAGTTACACAGAGGTGCCCATATACCTAATTACATCGTACCTAAATTGCTAACTCTGTGTCACTGCTATATACTATTAATCTCTATCTAGCTAGAGTGGAAACTATAGTTTTTTCTTCTTCTCTTATAATATCTTCTGATTCACTTCGTTGCGGGAACCAATACAGTTACTCATGTCCCTGGGACGCGCCGGACTTCAATGTTCCGGTGTTTTCGTGGTTGTATCTACTGTAGATCCTGGCTTACAGGAGTTGCAGCGGTTTTGGGAGGTTGTGGCGGGCTTATCCCAACAAAAATAGCTAGAATGTACCTACGTATACATAAATCAACCCACGTCCCCATCTTAAAATTCCTATTCCAGATGACACTTCCATTGCATTTTTCTACGTCCCAAGTCACAACGTCACACGTGCTTGTATTAACATCATTTATTTTTGTTACAGTTCCGGTCTTATGTCATCGTCCATAGAGGAGGTGAGTGTTTTGTTTTCATTTATTTTAAACCGCCATTTTGTGTTGACAAACTGTAAACATGTGTCATTCTGTAAAGTTTTGAGTCGTTTTGTCTATCACGTGGTTTTTACTTCTTTTTCCTATTGTAAACAAACCATTTACATTATATTTTAAACACTGGAAAGTTCAAAGAAGTAAAAACTTGAAAAAACAATTTATGGATCTACTGGATGATCAAAGTCACAGCTTTTATTTTAATTAAACCATAAATTGGTACTTTTGAAACGTCAACAAATACAAAATAAATGATAATCTGTCAATCTATCCGTCAGTGAAGCTAGGTGCTCGTTCCAGAGATATAGATTCAAATAGAGAAGAGCAAGAAACTCCATCCGCAGTCCCATGATTTTGTCCTAATTTTAACTCGTCGAGTACCGGTTTTATAGACACAATTAAAGAACAATAGGTCGCGGTCACCGGTGACCGCTTGGTGTTTGACAGTTTAAACATTAAATCTAAATGCGTATTCCAAGTTAGTGAACTTTTTTAATACAAAAAGCTGGCAGTAAGAGAAATCTCTATAAGTCTCAGTAGTTGTATAAATATTGGCTACTGATAGTGAAACTATTTGCTGAGATATTTAGCGACTGAATGAATAAACATCAGAAGATGTATTTTTATGGTACAAGCCGACCAACGAGTATACGGATCACCTGGTGTTAGGCAATCGGCACCGCCCATAAACCTAACCTAAACCTAACGGGTAACCTGGGCTCCTGCCCGACGTGCAGGAGTAGGAACGGGGTGGGTTTTAGTCAGTAAAAGTCTGACACTCCCTCCCGCCTCACCTAAGCGGGAGAAGCTATTCGATGATTTTCCCCCCTTAAAAAAAACTATAAACATATGACAAACCAGAGGAGTTAGTGGTGCATTGTCGACCTTTTGGGGGCTTAAGGATTGGAGGATTGCGGCATTCGGGGTTTGGAGAGGTTAGGGGTGGATACTTTGAATCTAATAAAGTTTTGTTCTATCCGAAGATCAATTACAAGACCTGACAATCAGTTGTCTAATCAAATAATAGATGTATTGTAACACATAATATTTCGATCAAAAACAGGTTATATATGAATACATACAGTTCTATATTTAAAATGATCCAAACACCGTTTTCAAATAGGTTAGGACACTGAAATCAAAGAGAACAGAATGAATCAACATAGTTCTACATACTCGAATGTAGTTGTAACCTAGTTCCTCATTTATTTATTGTTATTAAACCTTAGTTTTATCTTAACTGTCTATTGAGAAAAACAGGGAACTGTATCGATTGCGGTCTACTCTTCCTACGGTTTTGCCTGCTTGAATTTCCTGAGTAAACCTGCATAAAAGGTACAGTTTTTAGACTTGGCTGCATTTTCTCAATTATTTACGTCTTAATTGAATCTATACTTAAGTAGATTTCCCCGAGCGTCCCGCGCGTCGCGTTCCTTGCGCGCCTCAAAGAGCCATCTGACCACCACGGATGGGTCCCAATAGGGCTGATGCCGATTCGGAGTCGCGGAGAACCTAACTGGCTACGTTAGGAACGGGGTGGTTTTTAGTCAGTAAGAGTCTGACACTCCCTCCCGCCTCACCGAAACGGGAGAAGCCATACGATGATTTTCCCCCCTTAAAAAAATACTTAAGTAGATTTTGAAATAATAATAGATGTATTAATAAACTCTAAACGTTCGATCGAATTTGGCCAAAAAACGAAAGACGCAAAAGAGATAAGCATTAAAATTACAATGTAGATTGGAATTCCAATAGAAGATCGTTTGTTCTTCAAAAAGGACAGACCACAAATAGACACTAAACAAGCATGTAGCAAATATTCTGTGGTTATTCTCTTTATTTAACGATGTAACGTCAACAGTAATAAAATGCTACACCTCTCTCATTATACAGAAATATCTTGAATGTATTTTGAATTCGAACAAAAGAAATTGTAATATTTTAACACTGACGCAAACAATACCTAGTCTTAAAAATCATATACTCAATCTTCACAACTTTGAACCGTTTGTATTTATGTTCTAATCTTAAAATAACAAGTACACATACATAGTGGTAATCGTAATATATTAATTGAATACTTTAATGTGACTGTTCGGTTTACTCACTGATTGACGAGGTTACTTGACTAATTTCATTCCTTGCCTGGGACCTAAAACCATACATTCTCCTCAACAGTGTCAAAATAATTTTTCTTCACTTTTGATCGATCGACTTATGATTAGCAGATTACTGAACGGTAATCCATGTGCTAATTTTCCTCCCTTAAAAACTATTTCTACTTAAAATATCAACGGGTTTTCTACGGATTATTTAATTCCAGGAATAAAATGCATATGTGTGCAACTGTGCTCAACTTCCATTAATTCTTTCGAACTCCCTTTACAGTATTGTTTATCCGTTTAGCTCGAAATAATAACAAAAGATATACTTACTAGACTATCTGGAATGTGGTTATTTGATACATAGACTAATTGAACGCATTTGTAAAGGTTGCTGACCTCTCACTAGGTGTGACGATGCGGGTAGTTGAAGGAGCAAGTGGTGAATCATTTGATTATAAAGGAATGGTTTAGTTATCTCCTGAATGGTGTGATTCAGATGTGAATCTATTAATTGATCTCAGTATTTACGGATGCATCTATGCATTTTTAGATGCTCAATCATGAGGTAATTGTTATTGGGCCTTGAAACAACTTGTCCGATTTGTAAAATTCTTTCTGTGTTGGATAGCCCATTTATCGAGGAAGGCTATAGGCTATAAAACATCACGCTACGACCAATAGGAGCTGAGCAGAGCATGTAAAACCACGCGGAAGTAGCTAGTATTTTATATATATCAACGTGAAATACGTAGATATGTACATAAATAGCACGACTCAAGTATTCATAACATAGTCATAGTTTGTAACATAAATAAAGTCGAGCCGTTTAAACAACATTTAAAATGTATATCGTTGTATGAATGACGGAATTAAGACGTAACACACCTGTTTGTCTTTGCAACTGGATTTTGTGACGTCACAAGCTATTCATGGCGACTAATTTTAGATTTGTGTAAACGTCATAGATAGAAAATTATTTTAGACACCGCAGAAATTAAGAAAACAGTTCTTTAGGCATCATGGAGTATAATTCCCTAAGATCGGAAAAGAAGGATCATCCGACCAGACGAGGGGATTGTCCTTTTTTTGAGTGGGGAAAATCATCCAATGACTTCTCCCGCCCGGGTCAGGGCGAGAGGGAGTTTCAGACTCTTACTGACTAAAAACCACCCCGTTCCTACTCCTGAACTTCGAGCCGGAGCCCCGGCAACCCGTTGAAGTCTTCCGCGGCTCCGTATCGGCATCTGTTGGGCCCCATCTGTGGTGGTCTGATGGCTGCTTGAGGCGCGCGCGGAACGCGACGCGCCGTACGCTAGGGCGAGGTGATTGTGTCTGGCGGACTTTCTGCCCAACAGTTGTTCGTTGGGATTTTCTATCCGTGTTAATTCGCATGTAAACTTCATGATGAAGTTTGGCAGATGGCATACATTGATATATGTCGTTGATCGTCTATGTGCGACATCTGCCGTCTATCATTTTGTCAAAGTGTCGCCACACCTCTTTTATACTTTCTGTACCCAGTTATATCCAAAAAATCTGTGAACAGCCTTCAAAGCACAGATTGCAGCATTCTCTAAACTTTCTGCAATCTAATTTCAAGCCGTCTGCCAAGTGAGGGTATTAGGTAGATATATCTTTTTTCATAAGATAGGTTCTCTTTTCAGCAGTGGATTAGTTGTTAATGATGATTCTAATAACTTTTTAGGCAGCTAAAATTCAACTCAATGTATTTGTTCCTAAATTATGGATGTGGTGACGAAGAGAAATAGATATTCATTTTTATAGAGTCACTTGTAAGTATGTATAAATAGACAGACGTCTGAAATAAGACTTTCGAACCGCAACGGTAGCCATGACAGTTACAAAAATAGAGAAAAAACTATCCCATACAAAGCCATCAATTCTCCTAACGATGGTGGACACAAACTTCATCAGATTCTCTACCTTATGTTACAGTAACATATTCCAAATTCCATTGACGAGATTTTGGTCAACACGCTTACTAAACTGCCCCAAATTTCCCAAATTTTAACTCTGTTTCTTTGTGATAAAGTCTCAATTCTATTGTAGCTTTTAGTGTAGCATTACATACGGTTGAATCCTCTTAAATACCACCTGTGTTGCGAAGACAAACGACCATTTCCCTTACATGTACAGGATGATCTAAATTCTTACTTCCTTAGTTCATTATTAAGGAGCTAGAAATATCTGCTTTGATCATTACCTAACTGCTTTAAAGGAATTAGGATCTTAATTCGGTTAGATTTGTCGTTTTCCTGTGTTATTTTTGGTGGAGGTTTTCTTTTTAATGTAGAATTTCTTTTTGGCTTGAAGTTAGAGCTAGATTTCTATTTGTTATGTTGTCGTATGTTTCCTGTTACTTATTCTGATGAATTTGTGATTTAAAAACGTTTATCTTCTTGTAATTTTAATGTTGATGTAGCCATATTATCTTCTTAAATTGTAATTTTACACATACTGTTTTTTACTAAGATTTCTTGTCTTTCCTAAATTCACATCTTCTTCTATCTTATCGTCTCGTTCCTTCAATTGTTCTCTCTCACTCGCACACTTACAATCACACAGACTAATTTCAACTCCATCAATTGTCGGAAATCATTTCAATTACATTACAATGGCGCCACTTCCCAATGACCAGTACCTCTATGATAGACATCATATTGTTCATTACGTATATCATGTATTTATTTGGCTAAGGACGTTTTAAAATAGTCTACTCAATTTTGATTTACGACTTCTCATTCATAATCAAACTTGAGTACAGACTCCTCTCTCCCACTCCCTCTGACCCAAGTTCATTCAATGATAACTGCTTGTAAGCAAGCAAACTTGAACAATGTC